CCTCCCCCCTCCCTCCCTCCCTCTCTCTACTTCCGTACGTCTAGTCTCGGTGCTGGGCGGGTTCGCCTCCTGTGGTGCGAGCAGCTCTTCGAAGGGCTCCAGACATGCTGCCGGGTCGCAGCACTGGGAGATCCAGCCGCCCTCTCCCATGGTCGGGATGCACACGGTCAGGATCATCGTGAAGTGGTTCGACGCCAGGAACTACATCCACACACACACACACACACACAGAGGAGGGAATGACCGGTCGTGTGTGGGTCTGGGTGTGGGTGTGGGTGTGGGTGTTGGCGACGTGGGTGACGCTCTTACGTACTCGATGCAGGCGGACGGGGCGCACGTTCTCGGTTTCCTTGACCTGCATTGCGGGCAGACATTCAGCCACATGAGGCCCCTGCGCGTGTGGACAACATGCTCACACACATACCAGTCCCAGCAACGCGTCAGGGACCCTTTGGCCCGGCCGGAGGCTGCCGTAGATCATGGGACGGCCCACGAGCATGCTGCCATAAACGTCACACACATCCGTCCACACACGGCATGGGCCGGCCGGCATTTTGTGCGTTTGGCGCTTACTTTGACGATGGGTAGGATATGTCGGTCATGGCGAGTGCCTTGGTGAGCTGTTCGTTCATGTAGGCGGGCCGGATGAGGGGGCCAAGGACGTTGGTGAAGAACCACAGAGCCCAGGTGTCTGAATGTCAATCACATCGCACCACACACATGGGCGTTCGAGAATACGCCCCAGCTAGCATTCACACACACATATATCTTGCTGACTTGGTTTGGCCTTGAGCATCGCTTGGTAGCCACGGGATGTGTTGGCAATGAGATTCTCTATGGGACACGCAAGGCACACAAGGCACACGCGTTCATCTGTGGGCGTACGTGTCGGTGCTCCTTCCCTTCTCCGACCTGCGAGCGGTCTTCTCTCCGTGTCGTACGTCTCGAGGATCGACGACGATGCCCCGCCCCGCACACACAGCGCCAGCTTCCACCCGAGATTTGCTGCGTCCTGCGACACGTGCCAAACACACCCACGGACAATGTGTGTATGGCGTCCGGCTACGCAGCTAGCTGTCTATTAGACCTGTATGGCAGCGTTCATGCCCTGGTAGCCCAGAGGAGGACTGCAGTGGGCGGCGTCACCGACCTAACAACATACACACACCACCGAGCACATGGGTGCGGCGCGTGTACGCTTGTCGACGTGCGCACATGGACACACACATACATTACCAGGAAGGCATTGCCGCGTCTAAATGTCGACGCACACCGCGACACCAGGGGAAAGATGTCCCGCCACTGCACCTCGAGTAACTCAGTCCCAGGCACCACCTACACCGCCACACCCATCCCACCGTTACGCACACGGGTAATCGGACCACTATCTGCAGGTGGTTGTGTCTGTGTATGGGCAGGCAGGCGCGTACATCGTCAAGGAGCTCTTCCAGTTGCTCGAATGAGGGCGACTGGGGGTTCCAGAGATTGTCGAGGACGTTCTGCTCCTCCGCGAGGGCCAGCGGGCGGACGGTGATGACGCGCCACCGGCTGCCCTTCAGACGGATGCAGCACACGATGCCCGTCGAAGTCGTAATGAAGTTCCATCGTGTGGCGCCGTCGATGTCGCCCGGCACTCCCCAGTTGACCGACACATCAGCGTCGATGAACCTGTGGCCAGGACGGCATACCAACCCGTGCACACACATGGATACGGGTCGTTGTCCTCACTGGAAGGGCAAGGTCTTGCCTTCGAATGGGATACCGAGCTCTTTCCTCACCCTGCTGGCAGCACCATCACACGCAATCTGACACACACACACACACACAAGGCCCATCGATGCGTTCGTTGGTCGTGTTTGGATGAATGGCTCCCCCCCCTCCCCCTCGCTCACCAGGAACTTTCCTCTGACGGTGGTTGGCTCTCGTATGAGCGGCAGGCCGCCGCCGGTGACGGGGGTGCCGTGGGCACAGTGCTCTATTAGCTCCTGCACCACCCACAGCCTGTGCGCTCCGTTGCCTGTGCGGTGTGTTGGTGAGTGTCTTACCTCTGTGAGATCGTACGGCTGTATGGTGACCGACACGCCCTCGTGCGGCTGCTTGCCCACCTGCAGACTCATCAAACACACATGCGTCGCCCAGTTCTGTGTGCGGTGGATGGACTGCCTGCCTTGATGTCGTGGATCCAAAAGGGCCTTTTGATCCTCTCGATGCCTGCAGGACAGGTGCAACGACATCAAGCACACGACACAAAGAGGGAACAGCATGGATCGAGAGAGACCCATCGACCGACCGATGATGTGTTCGATGAGTATGTCTTCCAAGTCGTTCTGCGGGAGAGCCACGGGGTGGCGGTACTGAGAGCCCTCCACTCGGGAGAAGGTCCAGTCGACAGCACAGGAACCCTCCACGAAGAGGCGCTCGCCCAACACCTCCACACCCCTGCTGCGCACCTCATCAATCACACCCAGGCCTGAAAACAGACAGACAGACAGACAGACAGACAAACAGATAAACACGCACTCTCCTTTGTATGTGTGTTCACATCATCTATTTGGCGTACGTTCGAGTATTTCCTGGGTCTTGGTGTGCACAGTGACGCCTCTCGAGAAGGGGATGACGCGTGGGCACCGGTCGATGACCAGGAAGTCCACACCACGCACACTCAATTCGGCAGCCAGCGCAAGACCAGCAGGACCTGACACACACCGCACAGATGAGTGTGCAACAGGTTGTGCCTGCCATGCCATGGATCTGCCTCGGTGTCTGTGTTGACCTGCTCCAATGATAATGACATCAGTGGTCGCTGGGACCTCGTCCACGTTGCTGCAGTCAGACAGACATACATGTTCGGGTGTGTCGGTTTTGCATGCGTGATTCGCGTACAAGTAGGCGAGAGTGCGGTACTCTGACACGTTGAAGCGCCCGTACGGCACCACCCTCTCCGTCTCCCCTTCCGTCGACGCCTGACTGTCCGAGTCTTTCATGCCCCAAACTACCAGATCTTCACAAAATAAACTTGCTCCCGAAAAGGAGGGTCCGCCCGGCAGAAGCACAGCGCTTCAGGAAACAGACATTGTGGATGGTAGTAAGGTTGGTAGTGACGGATCTTTGCAAGACGGAATGAATCTGAGCTCGCACAAGAAAATGCGGCCCAATGTGGGAGATGAATGTTCCACTGGACGCAAGTGCAACCCCAAATGTACAACGTACGTGTGCAATCGTGCGTTTCGTTCGCATTCGGCAATCATGGCCATGGCTAGCTGCACATCCGGGCCGGCTATCACTCGGCCACGATTCAGCCCCCGGTCTGCCCACGTCACAGCAGCAAAAGCATGTCTGTGGAACTCAGCGAAGGCCTTCTCAAGGCGAGCAAAGCCGTCCAGCCGATGGCACACTTACGTCTGCATTGGATGTCACTCCCTCTGTGTCCTGGTCTGTGTGAGTGCAGGGCGGTGATTCGAGTGAGGCGGCGACACAGAGGCCGACGCGCGCCCCGACGGATGAGGGGACTGTGCGGACGAAATCCCACGTGCATTTTCTTGACCTCGATGACCGACCGTCAGAACGGGCCTCGACTGTCTCACACTCCACACAGGGGATGGCTCTCATACCCTGTGTGATGGCTATGAGAGCAAGGATAATCAAACACACGTACCTTGAGATCACAAAGGGTAAGTCAAGGCATACGTGCGAAAAAGACATTGACTTCATGGCACTGTTTTGCTCATTGCAGGTGTGTTGGCGGAGAAGGAGGCGACGATGGCCGAGCTGCTCCGGGGTGTGCACCAGCACAACAAATACAACGTGGTCGAAGACAAGTGAGCGAATGGCTGGTGAGTTGGACGATGCATACTGGCTGGCGCGGGCTGTTTCATGCAGGGCATCAGGCGCTCTCAAAATTCGCGATTTGCGACAGATATTCTCGGACTTCAGTGGCAGCCAAGCTTCTCTGGAGGTGCGACGGAACTGCATCCTCATCAACCTCCCGCCCATCCGTGCCATCATCCTCCACGACACAGTACGGATGGATGGCCATTCACAGTCAGGCACCATTAATCATTCCCGCCTTTCAGGTGCTGATATTCCCCCTGGCTGGCGGTGAGGCTTTATCTGCCCAAGAGGTGCTGCACCGGAGGCAGTCAGTGCTGACACTCGACATCAGCTTCGAGACTCTACTTCCTGGTCTCATAGAGGAGATCTTCCCAGAGCACGACGAGAGGGCGCCGCAGCCCGAAGAGGATCAACGGATGACCGCGGTGCAGAGGCAGCAGGGCGGGAGGATGCCCACAGCGTCTGGCGCCTCGCCTCTTTGTGGCCGCTGCTGAGTGACGTGACCGTTGCGCCGGTCAAGGAGCGTGACGGCAGAGAGGGGCGGGAGGAGGCCGAAAGAAAGCGAGCCAGCAAGATCAGAGACTGCATTGACAACGTGCTGCAAGTCTCCAAACAAAAGGTGTGTCACACAAAGAAAGGAGCAGGGAGACAGACAGACACGACGCCTCTGTGGGTATGTATGCATTGGCCTCACCAGCACGGGGGCCTTTTGTCGATCCCCTTTGAGTTTGCGGTGCTCGAGGCCATTCTTGCAGAGGTTGTGGCCTTCCTGCAGGGCGACTTCAAGCCAATCAAGACGGCCGTCGGTGAGAGAACTGGCCGCATACACGGGAGCCGATAAGGCGACCTGCACTGCTGAGTGCAGATTACGCATGCAGCGAGTTGGGGAGGAGCCAGGAGAGCTTCGCGTCGACGCGCACTGTGGAAGGGGTCAACCGCCTGAAGACTTGCCTCACTGCCCTGTCATTCCGCGTCAAGGGCATCAAGACGGCGATCTCTGAAGTGAGTGGCTAAATGTGACCTCTGTGTCAAGTGCACGCGTGTGTATCCATGTGTCCAGCTGCTGGACAACGATGAGGATATGAGCAGGCTCGAGATATCCCGCTTCTACGAGGCAAGCCGAGGCAGAAAGGACACACAGAGAGGATGGGACTATTTTCTTACTCATGCATGCGCAGAGACCGAACGAGCGTCCAGTGCCGGTCCGCCACGGCAGCATGATGTTCGGCTCCAGCATGGACAGGCGGCAGACCGCAGTCTCCCCAGTTCACGAAGAGCAGTCTTTTGCTGCCGCTACGGCCGCTGCCAGGGCTGCTGCGATTGCGTCTCCAGGCATACACACACACCTATTACGGCCACCCACAGATTCACCAGACATCCATCTGTGCGTCGGTGTGTGTGTGTGTGGCCTGGCTTGGTCCTTCCGTAGGTGTTAGTGAGGGTCAGAGCGGCGAGGGTGGTGTAGGTGGTGAGGGCGAGGAGTATTCTTTGGAGGACGTGGAGCTTTTGCTCGAGTGCTATATCCAGGAGGTCCAGCTGCTGGAGGGCAATATTGCCCATCTGCAGGAGGTCAGTCAGTCAGTCTGTGAGACACACAGAGACACGGCCACTGTGACTCATTGGATTGGTCAGACATTGGACGACGTCCTTCAGCTGATGAACCTGAATCTTGCTACCGTCAGGAACAAGGTCCTGAAGGTCGAAGTAGGTAAGTGATCAACCCGGCGAAGCACAAGTTCAGTCATTCACGGCCTCTCTTTGTCGTGCAGGTCTGAATGTGGTTAGCGTTCTGGTTGGCTTCGGGGCGTGCATAGGGGGTGAGTAATTATGGGGAGGGGACAGATGGATGCGATGCGTTCATGGCCTCTGCCCTGTCTGTCTACAGGCCTCTTTGGCATGAACCTTCGGTCAGTGACGACACACAAGGGAGACACAACATGTCCAGGCCACGTGTGTTTATGTTGCAGGAGCGAGCTCGAGGACAGCATCTCCATGTTCTATGGGGTGATGGGCGCCACGATCGGCGTGTGTGTCATCACGGCAGTGGCCGTAGGCGTGTTTCTCAAGCGAGCCCTCACTCTCTAGGCCATGCGCGAACGCGGACCTACTTAGGACATCCATCACTCATTCGGTGACAGTGTATGGCTGTGGTGGCGTGGGAAGACCATTACGGCGCATCGAAGGCAGTTGAAGCTAGGCACACTCATGGATGTCAGTCGTGTCAGCCACTGTGGACACACACACACACACACTACACCACACCACACCCGATCGGTACAAAAGACCGCTGGCATTCGAAAAACAGACGTGCACGCAGGTGAGCACACACACAGACGTGTCCGTGTCGGCGCGACAAGCACGACACAGACGCACACTCGACGAGACGACGAGACGAGATGGATGGATGGACTGAGGGACACGAACAACACGGGACCCACACACGTAAATGCAAACAGACAGACAGAGGTGACGGACCCGATCACATCGTATCGATGACGATAGACGGACAGATAGACAGACAGACAGACAGACAGAAGGAGATACCGATAAGGGGGGACGGGACGGATGGGGAGACGGGAAAGCAGGAGGAAGAGGGGGAAGCTCAGTAAAAAGGCCGTCATCAAAGAATGATGCACACTCACACTTGTTCGTCCATCGCCGTCCAGGAGAGCCCCGCTCTCTCGCTCGCATTCATCGTTGACAAACACGATGTATACACACACGCACACACATACAACGAATGCGATCCACCACCCGCCTCACCCCCTCACTTCGTTGACCCCTCCCCTTTCCTCCTCCTCTCTCTCTCTCTCTCTCTCCCTTGTCAAGTCGAGGCCAACTCTCTGAGCCCCGACCCGAAGCAGTGTTGATGGACAACACAGGTTCGTGGATTGATAGAGCGTTGGCTGCCTTTCTGCTCCACCCACCCATGCCATGCCATGCCATGCATCCAGACGCATCCACACTATCTGGCCTCACGTAGAAATCACTACTAATTGCCTGCCTGCCTGCATCCGCAGCAGCGTTCTGCCGGCCGCCTGGCTGCCTCGAGAGACTCTCTCTCTCTCCATCCATCCACTCACTCACTCACTCATCCGTCCATCCATCCATCCATTCATCGCCCTCTCCCCCCCGATCCTTCATTGCCAGAGCCACACATGTAGGTTGGGAGGTAGAAGCAAGAAAGAGAAAACTCCTGCTTAGATTACATTGCCCACGGTATGAACACACACACACACTCTCTCTCACACACACACACACCCATAGCTCCCCTTCTGACTTCAGCTACCGGCGGCTGGGGCACTTGGTCGGCTCGTCCGATGACCACTTGCCGGTCGGCAGGCACATCCGGGTGTCAGGCCCCTCGGGCCAGTCGTTCCCATCACACATGTACTCGAGGATCTCCAGATCGTAGCTCGATACGCTCAGGGTGCGCTTGCGGATCTCTGCCACGGCCTCCGGATCGCCTGGGGGCTCCCCGCAGCCCTTGAACGCTGCACACACAAGGGGACAATCCAGCTCATGCCAACACTGGGTGTGGGCGGTTCGGTGTTCACTCACCTTGTTTGTCGAAGCAGGTGACCTTTGTGTCCGGGCCGCCAGGTATCTGTATGGGCGTCCCCGACCGCCTCGGGACGATCACACTCCACTGGGTGACCAAATCGGGAGCCGGGGGCAGGAACTCCGCCGTAGACATCAACGACAGACAGTCGGGGTTGATCTCTAGACCCACAAACCAAAACTGCGCCCAGCCGACACGACAAACGATGCATTTGTGTCACCCTCCTGTGAGAGTATGTGTGTTTCTGTGCGTGGGAGGTCACCTGGCCGTTAGGGCACCTGGCGATATTCCAGTAAGGCAGCAGCCGAGGGGTGTCGCCGACCGTGATCTGAGCCCAGTAGGGCGCGCCGGAATGCACCGTGCTGTTTCTGTCAGGCCAGACCTCATACAGAGCGAAATGCGCCTGCGAGCCAACAAACACACCATCATCACACAATAGTCGGCTCACGCAAGCGACGTGTCTTCCATCTCACCATTGGGTCCATTCTGGCGTACCAGCCGCCGGCGTGTGGCGTGACCTGATCGTGTGCTTGGCCCTCAAACTCCACTGGCCCGCTGGACAGGTACACGAACGGGCAGTACGTGTCGTCGTCAAATGTCTGGGCCGCTCCACCTGTTGCCCACACGACGCGACAAAGTAGTCTGCAGTGACGCCGACGTTCGTTTTCTCCCCCTCTTTTGAAGGGCATACGTGGCAAGCATTTGATCTCGGTGTCAGGGCGCCACTTGCCGTCCGGCCAGCACCAGACCTGGTCAGGCCCTAGCCTATCTTGTTCCTGGTCGATGCAGGCTTCGCTGTAGCCCATCACCCTGAACAGCCTGATGTTCTCTAGCGAAGTGAAGAAGGCCCCGCTCTCTGGAATTATGTCGATGGACGACTCGGGCAACGAATCCTCCGAACAGACCCCTGACAGACACACAGACAGACAGACAGACAGACAGAGAGGGGGAGGGAGGGAGGCAGAGAGAGACACAGAGACACAGAGGGGTTAGAAGACTTTCATTTATGTGTGAGTCTCGGGGGGACACGCAGGTGGCTAGCTCACTTGGTCGCACACACTCGATCTTGAAGTCCTCGATTTCCACATAAGCCCTGTCCTCCCTCGCCTCCCACCCACCACCCTCCTCCGGCAGCTCCCCGCCCGCCCCCGCCTTGCTCCGAAAACCCCCCAGGCACACAGCGGCGTCCGACAGAGGCCGCCCCGCACCCGGCGCCCAACCCATGTGCCACCGGTTGTCTCGCGGGCACCAGATGATCATGTTCTTGAGGAACGTGGGTTTGCCGATGAAGAGGTTGGGGTGCGCTATCTGGATCCATGCGGGTTTCCCTCCCCATTCGCCATTCTGCATCGAATTGAGGAAGGTCCTGAGGCCGAGGTCGATGATAGCGGATCGGTCCGCCCAGAGGTAGTAGCCCGCCAGTGGGCTGACTTGCTGGCTCTTGGGGTCGACGCTCATCGTGGGTGTGGTCACCTTGAGCAGTCGACAGCCGCCTGATGACGGCCACACACAACGAACAAACAAGATGCACACCCCACCCACAGACAGACACAGATGCATGCGGTCACCGCACTCACCGGTAGGTATCGGCGGCAGGGCAATGACGTCCGCATCCTCTCGCCCGATCGCCTCCACCGGCTCATCAGTCCCCTCCTCGTGATCGCCGTTCTCCGCGGGCTCGCCCTCAGCCGAGGCCGGTGCGGTCGTCACCGCACCAGCACCAGCAGAAGGGGTAGGCTTCGGAGTGCTCGACGTTGTTGTGGTACTCGTCGTTGTCTGGGCCTCCCTCTGGCTTGCCTGCGGACCAACGCTGGCTGGCTCGCCGTTCGACGGCTCCACGAGAGGTGCTGTTGTTTCTGCCGCCGCTGCTGCGCCAGGGCCGTCAACCTCTTCCTGCGGCTGTTCTTGTTCGTCGCAATCGCCGCCATCGAGGTTGCATTTGGCGATGTTGCAGGCCTCGTCGCAGACACCGTCGCCGATGAAGTCGAGTTCGCAGGCATACCCAGAGGCATCGGCGCACTCGGTTGCTGATACGGACTCACACGCGGGGCGTGGACATGCACTATCACCTGAACACACGACAGACAGACAGAGAGTGGACGCATTCATTCACACACGCAGTGTGCTTGTCGTGTGTTTGTCATCTCACCACCCTGCAGTCGCCGCCTCCCTCGCCTCACTCGACCACTCCCCATCACCGCCACCACCCATAACGCCACCAGGACCACCCACACGGCCCTCCAGTGCATCTGCGATCCCGAAAAAGATGATGGAAACCACTCGCCTCAGGCCCACTGAACGGCCCGTCGGCCCGTCATCGTGGAGTGGCTGCTGGTCTTCACACTTCTTGGCCTCGGCACGACAGCTGGCGTCCTCCTGATACTGCTTGTCGCAGACCGACAGAGAGATGAGAGATAGGAGGAGGATTGATCCAACAGATTAAGTGAAGCACTCAGGGGTACTGTGCATCTTCCCAACCACTGTATGGCATGGGGCACGAAAAAAACTGACGGAGAGTCTGCGAGCTTAGACGGGGAGATCTCGAGATCTCCTGACCGCCATTTCCGCGGCTCAGCCTTTGCAACCGAGATCTCGCCTTCAGCCTTGACCCCCTCGGCGAGTTTTGCTTTCGTGCTGCATCGTTGGTTGCACTGCCGTGCTCGTGAGACAAGACGCTCGTGTCCCAGCACAGGTGCGCCTTCAGCCAGGCAGCACGCAGGCAGGCAGCCAGGCCACTGGGTTGCCCTTGATCGCTATGCGTGTGTAATGTGGCTGTTGTTGCGTGGGTGAGTGATGTGCAGGTTTGCACGAAACTTGTCTGGCGTGGCTCGGCTCGGCCTGATCTGGCGGCCCTCTGTCTGTCGTCTGCACTGAGTCATGCCGACCGACTTCTTGTCGGAGGAGTACCTGGTGTCCTTCCGGACTCAGCTGTGTCCCGACCGAAAGCGGGGCTGCACCAAGGGAGACAAGTGCCGCTTCTCACACGCGACCGACTGGATGTAAGGGCGCGACGCTGCAGCGCAACAGGGAGGCAGGCAGAGAGGAGGGGGATGATTACTGAGGGAGCTGGCGCGGGATGTGTTGTGTGTGCCTGTCTCTCTATGTGTGCCTGCCTGCCTGCCTGCATGCATGTAGCCGTCGTCGTGCCTTCTACCACGGTTCTCGGGAGAAGATCAAGTACTGCCACCAGCTGTGCGAGTTCGTGGCGCTAGTCAATGGACGACCGCACAACGGATGTGACAGAGGTACGTGACCCTGTGGGAGGGAGAAGGGTACGTATGCGCGTCTGCTTCTGCGTGTGTTGTGTCAGGATCCAACTGTCCGTTCTCCCACTCGGTCGAGGAGCTGGAGTACCACCCGCTCCGCTACAAGACCACGCTGTGCCCGATGTTCCACCAGACTGGACTGTGCCTGCGGCCATACTGCCCCAACATACACGGCATCGCCGAAGAGAGAAAGGGTACGTAACGTCAGATGCACACACACAGTGTCGGCGGGGGAGGCATCTACACATGTGGCTGTGGCTGTGTGTGTGTGCAGACAAGAGATACTTCATGATCGGGAAGCACCTCCGCAATGACAGGGTGACGCTCCCCCCTCACCTCACCGGCATCACAGTCATCGAGTCCGACGCCGAGCTCCCCAACCACAATGAAAATGCCAACAACCCCACCAATACCAGCACCCGGAGCAACACAAACGACCCCGCCCTCATCAAGACCAGCCCTTTCACCGACCGCCGCCCACCTCCCCCCCTCTCCCTCTCCCCCTCCCCATCCACGACGAGCAACCAATCGGACCTGGCCAAGCTGCGCTCCCCCACTGTCTCCACCAACACGACCAAGATCCCCGCCCCCCCACGCACACTCCCACCGCCTTCGCTCCCCCACAACCACCAGAAGAGCAGCACCGGCAGCAACAACAGCAGCAGCAGCTTCCCCACCAAGCAGCACCCGGCTGATGGCGCGGCCGGGCGCATCGAGACCCGCGCATCTCTCGAGGCCAACCTGCGAGCTCGCCTCGGCCCTCTGGCGGACGAGAAGGACGCTGAGGAGATGACCAACGGCATGGTCACGGCCCTCGGCCATGAGTGCCGATCGACCTCGGGCTCCCCCCCACCCCCTCCCCCGCCCCCCACACACGACCCCGAGGACTGCATCAAGGTGCCCCCACCGCCACCCCAGCAGCAGCAGCGTCCACATCAGCAGCGTGATCGCTCGACGGTCGTGGCTGAGAAGGCGCTGATGCACGCGGACAGGTTGGCGGATTTGGTGCACTCGGAGGAGTTCCTGGAGGTGAGCGCCGACGCGGTCAAGCAGGCGGTGTGCACGGAGGTGTTCAAGAAGGTGGCCGAGGTGTGTCTCACCGTCATGGAGGCGGGCGAGGACGCCAGCGACTTGATGCACCTCCTCATCGACATGAGCGACCCCGAGGTAGGTGCCCTGCACACACACACACACACACAGAGAGAGAGAGAGACCCGTCGTGACGCCCATTTTCTGCCTCTGTGTGTGTGTGTGTGTGGTTTGTCTATGTCAGGTGCACTCGCTGGCCCACAGTTTGCACACCACCCTGGCACACACATTCGGCTACGTCCCCAACACCCCCCCGCCGCTCACTACCAGTACCACCACCACCCACACCCCTACGACCCATCAGCAGCAGCAGGGCAGTCCCCCCAGCCCCCCGACGTACCAGGAGTACCACCTCTTCGGCGATGCCGTCACGCCCAACCGCTCGCTCACCCTGACAACACGCACTATCGGCGGGCCGGCCTTCACTCTGGGCGGCAGCGAGAGGGAGGGGGAGGGGGAGGGTCAGGGGGGCCGACAGAACGGGAATGGGGACAGGGCGGGCAGCCAGGGCCACAGGGACGGGAGTTTCTTGTGAGGGAGATGTGATGTGGCTGTGTCTGCGTGTGAGGTGTGGCGCGAGTATCTCGAGAGTGCTGAGAGGGCGGTGTGGTGCCATTTCTCTTCTCTCTCCGTGTCTGTGCTGTGCTGTGTGTCTCTCTGTGTGGGCGCATCTGCGTGAAAGGTTTGCCGAGAGAGAGAGAGAGAGAGAGAGAGTCTGTGTGATGTGACAAGACAGGTCAAATATATGGATGTCCGTCTGTGTGTCTGTGTCTGTCTGTCTGTCTGTCTGCGTGGGATCGCCTGTGTGTTCCTCTCGACGTGTGTGTGACTGACTGACTGACTGACTATTGATGGCATCTACTGCGTAATTGCGTAATTCGCTGCCTGACTAGAGCGAGAGGAAGGCGCTAGCAGCTCGTTCGTTCCTACCGGGATGGAATGAGCAATGAGGAAAGAGACCACATAGCCGTGCTGGCTGCTACCGACTGGGGGCCATGGATGAGTAGGGAGGGCTATCCGTAAGGGCCGTATTGTATGCCTAAGACGACGCCCAGAGAGAGAGAGAGAGAGAGAGACTAAGCACTGTTCTGGTCACAATCGATTGCATCTTCCTGCCTGTCCGTCCGTCCGTCCGTCCGTCCGTCCGTCCACTTTTTTCGTCGTCACGCCTCCTTTGCGCACATGAGGCGTGTGTGGGAGGGGGGGTGGGGGTGAGGAGCCAACAGACACAAGGGAAGGGCACAGCATGTGGGTAGTGTCCAGAGGGGGTGGCTTGATGTGACTAGTATGGTGTCTTGATGCCTTGCCTGTGTGTGTGTGGTGGTCGGAAGCTGCCTGTGGCCGCCGTGGCCTTCTGCTGCGTCATTCTGACCCACTCAGTGAACGGCGAGTGGGGCAGCGTGGTGTGGAGGGACGCAACGGCAACCACTGGGACAGGTGGACGAGCACACGACGCGCAAGATTGACTGATTGCCTCTGCCCTTCCTGTACTGGTCTGGATGGATGGATGTCTGCCTGTGCTGGATCGATCATTCTTGCCGAGAGAGAGATGCCGAGAGAGTGCCCCGGAAGTATCCGCTTTTTTCAGCATCCCTCATCGTCACAAAACGATGATGCGATGCCGTGTGAGGACACACACACACATACACACATACACACAGACAGACAGGTTTGTTGGGGGGTCGCTGCATCTCTGTGTGTGCGTCTTCGTGTTCGTGTTGGTGTTGGTGGCAGGAGAGCGAGAGAGCGACTTATTGACACAATGCTAACCAGACGGCTGACTGATGCGGCCGGTGTTTCTAGTAGCCTGCTTCGGGCTAGTGTGTCTGTGTCTGTGTGTGTGTGCGTCTGTATGTCTGATGCTTTGTATGTGTGTGCGGCCATGGCTCACCTGTTGGTTTCAATCGCTGAGCGCGGCATGGCATCATTAAGCGGTGTTTTTGGGCGTCGTAAGTTGTTGGTCTTTCCAAGCGTCCACCGGTTTTTATAGCATCACAACTACTGACTGCAGCGTCTTATAAGCAAAGCAAGCATTGCCTTCTGCCGGTGTCGGGAGTGAGTATGACAACAGTCGGTGTGGCCTTTTATGTGAGTGTCTTGCAAGGAGCGCAAGCAAGCACCCAGTGTCCAGTAATTCCAAACACGAGCCGGGTGGGGAGGGGAGGGAGACGGTGTTGACTGTAGCGCTACAACCGTCTTAAGTACGTCGCTCTGTCGGCGGGAGGGTGGGTGGGTGCTTTCATGCCAGCCAGCTGTCTGTCGTCCGCCCGCAATTTTGAGCCATGCACTCCATTTCATCGCATCCCACAGGCACCATCCATCCATCAGGTCATTGGTCGCGTGTCCTCTCCTCCTGTCTGTCTGAGTTTATTGTGCCCGTCAGAACCAATGATGGATGATGGCTCGGCTCGGTTGCTCGACGCAGGTTTGTCTGTTTGCCTGTCTGTCTGTCTGTCTGCCTTTCTGGCCTTACTGGCCGTTTGTTTTCGTCCGTGGCAGTGGGTAGGGTTGCCAGCACCCGCCCCCCACTCACCCCTGCCATGCACCACCACCACGACCACGTTTGAACCACTGCATAGCACAGCATCTATAGCGTACCATCAGCAGCAGCAGTAGCGCTTCAATCCAGCTGTCTGTCCGTCTGCCCGTCCCTCTGTCTGTCCGTGCTGCATGTTGCTCCGTCGATTGTGTGTGCCCCCCTCTCCCTCCCCTTCATGGCACGCCTGCATCCGTCCCCCGTTTACCTGTCCATCGGTTTGAGTGTCTCAGTGTCAGCACAGCGCGGACCGGCCTCGCCCGGCCCGTTTTCTAGTGTGCGTGCGTTTGTCTGTCTGCCTGGCTGGCTGGCTGTGTGTTGGTCCTTCCGCCATTGCAACGTTGAGCGTATCTCTCTCTCTGTCGCCTCTCGAGCTCGGTCTAGTGTGGTCGGTCTAGTCTGTCTCGAGCCATCCCTGGCCCATCTCCTTCGATCGTCCGCTCTCGTACGTGTCCCTTCGTGTGCACATGCGTGTCTGTGAGTTCGTGTGAGCGTGTGTGCGTGTGCATGTGCGTGTGTGTGCGTGTGTTCGTGTGAGGGTCTCTCTGATGTGTCTGGTCATCGAGGAAGGTGGGTGGTTGAGAAAGCGACAGATGGAGACACGTGGATTTGAGTGCTGGTTGGTTGATTCATGTGGTGACTGATGGGAGGGATGGGATAGGATGAGAAGCATTCTTCAGGCTGGAACCGAGTAGGTCGGGGGAGATGGAAAATGGGAAGGGATAAAGAACTGAATGGAACAGGCGCACTGTCCACTGAGATGACGGACACAGATGGACGGATGCGTCAGTTCTGCTGATGGAAGATAGAGGTACACGCAAGTACGGTCTTGCTCAATCAAATGGTGAAGTGAACAGTGAATGGATGGACTGATACCGTGTCAGAATTCCACCAAGCCAGCTGTACAGAGGCATTACTCAGCGAACCATACACCACCATGTCCTTGCGATTGCAATGCCAACGCACTTACAGGAGTGTTCCATCGCTCACATACGTCTCATGACTACCCGACCCGCCTACCTAAATGGAGCCAACATTCGCCCGACACGCACACGGAAACGCGCACACACCGGCACGGTAGCTTTCGCGTCACGTGGCGCGGCAGGCAACGAAGAGAAGCACAACCACCATTTCATGAAAATCACGTAACAGAATAGATTTCCACTCGTGGATGGAAGGTCAAAGACAACAATGAGACAGTGAGGTGAGAAGTGGTGCCGAGACGGAGGGCTGGGCTGGCTGCCGCAAGCAAGCCACGCTCGGCAAGTCTGAGTGAGTGAGTCAGTAAGTGCGATAGCTTAGCTGGTATGTATGGATCTGGATCGATAAAAGAGTGGCCCGCCCACCCGCCCGCCAAGCCGAGAGGATCTCTCGCTCTCTTATGGCCAGACAGCCAGCAAGGTGACCACACACGCACACATTCACACACCACCGATGCGATGCGATGCGATGCGATACCCCCCCTCCCCCTCACCACACCCACGTCACGCAACACTCTCACCCACCCGCGCAGATCCCCCCCCCGCCCACACACAACATGCGACTACACGCACACCAGACCACACCGAGGTATGGATGGGTGCGATGGATACGCGCGCACACACAAGGTGGGTGAGTGAGTGGTCGATTGAAAGGGCGCCAGAGAGGCACCACCGATGGGTTCAAACCACAAGGCACACACAGGGAAGGGAAGGAAGGGGGAGAACGAAAGCTTAGCCAAGGCGAGACACACCAGAAAGACAGGACGGTCAGACGGACTCAGGCACAGGGAAGCACGCAGACAGGCAGGCAGGCAGGCAGGCAGACAGGCAGACAGGCACACAGACACGAACCTCTTCAGTTAGTCAGCGAGAAAAAGAGGTAGGAGTACAACAGGAAGACAGGAAGACAGGGAGAGAGATATAGGACGCCGTCAGAAAGCGAAGGCAAAAAGCCCGGGCAGCAGGCTGAGCGAGTGAGGCCAACACAACCAACCAAAAACCAGGCCACACATGACTTGCCCCCTCAACCGCCCCCCACCCTAAAACGAAACGAAAACCACCCCACCCGCCCCAAACAGAACACCAAGAAATGAAAGGAACCCCAGGACGTCCAGGACGTGACGTACAAATAGGTCGATAAGACACACACGCGCACACAAGCGCACACGCACACAGACGTTCACACCACCCACACGACATACCGTAGTATGTGCGTCACCCATCTGCTGGCTGTCTGGGCTGTCTGACTGCGACGATCAAAATCTCCCCTTGTCCCTTAGGCATCCGTCTCGGCGAGCTGAGCTGAGCAAGCAAGGGTCAGGCGAACCATCCATCCACTGTCTTGTTCCGTGATGGGGGCCCATCGGCCGGCTGGCTGCTCTGCTCTGCTCGGGGGAGGGAGAGGGTCGTCATCCATCCATCCATCCATCTATCCATGACGGGGCCTCATCTCGCTCAGAAGAGCGTCGTCACGGTAGTGAAGTACAGATCCTGCACATTCTGCAAACACGAACACAACACACGAGGTCGGCTCATGTCGTGTGCGGGGTGCGTCACGTGAGCGTAGCTTGTGTGGGTAGGGTAGGTCCCACCTGGTCGTTGACAACGTCCCTGAAGTTGCCTTCTCCCTCCGTAATGAGGACATCGTCGAAGGCGTCCAGCTGCGCCCGCGTGGCAGTCAGTGTGCCACGGACCACATACCAATCCACAACCTCCGAGCAAGGGGGCGTCGTCAGCGACCCCTGCACCGAACACCATACAGAATACAGACAGCACAACACATATCATTCCGTCTGCTAGCCAGCCGGCTTCATCTGCGTGTGTCAAGGGTACCTACCTTGTAGTGGTATGCGAGGAGGGGAAGACCCGGCAGCTCCGTTGGGAGGAACCGTGCGACCTCGTCGGCGAGTGAGAGGCCGAGAGGGTCGGTGTAGGTCATCGTCTCATTCGCTGGGGGGAAGCCCGCGTCGATCAGACGCTGCAGGAACGCATCGGGCTCCCGGCCAACGTCGTAGAAGATACCCAGCACCATCAGACTACCATCTGCACACACAGAGAATGACAGACGGCACCAATGGCGCTGTGGCCCCTTGGCTGACTCACCGCTGGCCTGATGGACGATGTGGAGCTCAAGAGCGGGCTGGTTGCCATCAACACGGTGCTCGGCCTGCAAGCACAGGACAGACAAGGTGACCCACACAGACAGGAGGCAGTTGTCCAAACAAACAAGGCAGACTGTGCGTCTGAGAGGGTGTGCGTGTGTGTGTGTGTCGACTTGGTGTACCGGTGCGTGGAAGTGGAACTGCAGGACGCGGTAGAAGGTTTCGTTGGTGTAGGATCCGCCGAAACCAGCAGTAAGGGGCGACCTCTGCTTGATCATCTCCCCGGCAATGTCGGTGCCATTCTACATCACCACACAACAATCACCACACAACAACCGTGATCTCCGTCACGCTGGCTGTCGGTGTGTGTGTGTCGGTGGCTTACAATGCCATCGCCACCGACTTCCTCTTCGCCGGGGAGAAGTGCCAGCTCGGCACAATCGTACTGGACGCCGTGGCCGCTGTTGCTGATGATGACCTCTGAGCAGTTGGCATACCGGTAGTTGAGCACCACCTCGAACTTGGTGCCCACAGGCGGCACATCAACGTCCTCGGACCTCAGGTCGATAGGCGACTGAATCAAATCAACCACCCACATGCAGAGGCACACATGAGTGGATGATGGAGCGAGGGAGGCTGCTGGGCGTGTGGCGATTGGGACACTCACCTGCCTGATGGTGCTTTCACACTCCCCAAAGGTCCAGTCATCACCCTGCGACCTGCACCAACACACACAGCCAGACACAGACATCTCACACGCGATGAGCCTCTGTCTTTCCTTCAAGCTGATCAGATCTGCTGTTGGATGCATCTCCCACGCCCTCTCCCCTCCCGAACTCACCCATAAGTATAATATTGCTGTAGAGCACGACCACGCACAGCCGGTTTGGCCGACACGGCAGCGACAAGACCAACAAGGCACACGGCAGCACGAAGGCACACCATCCTCACTCCACCTACAGCGGTAGCGATTATGTCACACGATTATCGATTGGGACAGAGAGACAGACAGACGGGCGAGTGAGTATCAGCAGGCGATATAGAAAACAGCTGGTGGACGTTTCGTGCGAGGACTGACGACAAATGGGGGGAAACCAAAGATACAGGATCCGACAATATGCCAGTCAGACAATAAGCCAGCCAGTGGCGCGCGCCATCCTGGCCAGCCAATCAACTAAACAGTCGAGGTTTCACTGTAGAGGTGACGCTCTACCCCATTGACCAGCGCCGCCTGTCTCATTCTTCAACCGACGCGCACCAACCACCACCACCACACGCCATCCATCCCCTCTCTCACCATGCGCGCCCTCTTCGTCATTGCCCTCGCCATCACTCTCACGGCGGCCGTCTTTGCGGACGATGCTGCTGTGGACACATCGGATGTGCAGCACATAGAGCAGCGCGAGCAGCCTGAGCAGCCGCAGCAGCAACCCAAGGCGTTCAGACATGCGGTGAGTCAAGATGCACGCGCAGGGAGGGACGTACGTGACGGGGTGTGCATGAGTGAGGTGGTGGGGGGAGGGAGATCTGACATAGCGGGCGGTGTGCGAGGTGCGTGCGGGTGGCGCATGTGCCCCGATGCAGTGAAGACAGGCAGGCGTCCGTGTGTGAGAGACAGATCATCATGTTGGTCATCCCGTCGTCCTCCTGTTTGCGTGTGTCTTGTGCGCAGGATGCCACTGAGCTGCTGTCTGCCGAGGCCGAGGCTCCCCGTCTTGAGGCCACTGCTGGCTACAAGGCCTCCACACCCACCACCATCGGCAGAACAGTCCTGTGGGTCGGCTTCGCCTGCATGGTCAGCCACTCGCCTGTCTACACAGACAGATCTCCCATACATGTCGATTGGTGTCTGCGTCACCGTCACCTCTGTCTTTGTGTCTTGTGTGGTGTGGTGCGGTGTGGTTTGGTGTGGTGTGGTGTGTGTGCAGGCTCTGTCCACCCTGTATTTCGTCCAACAAGCATACAGCTTTGAGATCTTTCAGAGGAAGGTAGGTACCAAATCCTTGTTTGTTGTCCACAGCCTGAGGCACCTGGCGGCACACGTCTGTGTCCTGTCGTCATCGCCATGTCAGTTCCACTACGTGTCGGCGGGCATCACGGGCATCGCGGCGCTGGCCTACCTCTGCATGTCGCTCGACATCGGTGTCTCCTCCGATGAGGGCGGCCGATCCTTCTACTGGGCTCGCTACGTCGACTGGACGCTCACGACGCCCCTGCTGCTGGTCGACCTGGGCTTGCTGGCGGGCGTCCACTACAATGAACTCATCTGTAAGGGGCGATGCTCCCACACGGACGTCTGTTGAGTGCTCATGTCTTTCTGTGTCTGTGTCTGCGGATGGGTGGTGTCAGATGTGATCATCATGGACATCCTTATGATCGTCGCGGGCCTCATTGGCGGCCTCTACGCGGTGAGCCGCCGCCCTCACGCAACGCACACGCCAAAGGGGGACAGACAGACAGCCGTACTCACTCATTGGTGTGTCCGTCCATTGTGATGTTAGGATGACCCGTACAAGGGGTGGCCGCTCTTTGTGTTCGGCATGATCGTCTTCCTGCCCATCATCCTCTCGCTCACCACTTCCATGAAGGAAAAGGCGCTCTCCTTCGCATCAGGTGTACACACACACACCATCACCCCTGACGCACACGCCCCCTCACACACACAAGTGGCTGGCTGACGCACTCTTGACTCTTTCTCTGTGTGTGTCTGTGTGGTGTGGTGTGGTTTGTTCAGATGTGGGTGCTCGGTTCAACCAGCTGTCGGTCATGACGGTGCTGCTGTGGAGCGCCTACCCCGTCGTGTGGGTGATTGCCGAGGGCACCAAGGTCATCCCCGTCGACCTCGAGATCGTCCTCTACGCCATCCTGGACGTGTCGGCCAAATGCCTCTTCGGCTTCATCCTCCTCGCCAACAGATCCCTCATCGAACGCGCCACCGGGCAAGCCCTCGCCGCTCAGTAGACAGACTCGTTCTGTAGGCTAACTAACTATTTTCATTGTGCGTAATCTTTATCGATGCATTGGTGTGGGGTGCGTGGGCGTCCGCGCGAGTCTGTCTGTGTGTGTGTGGTGAAAGGAGAGAGGGGGAGGGAAGGAGGCACCTGTAACGTATGTAGAACTGTCCGCCTGGCTGGCCGTCGTGGTCTCTCTCTGTCTGCGTGTCTGTCTTTCCCTCTGTGTGTCGCTATCTGCTGTCATGTATCTGAGTGTGTGTGTGTGTGTGAGAGAGAGAGTGCGTGTCTGATGAGCTGCTACCACGCAGTGCCGCTGCGTCTGGTGAAGGGTGTTTTCCTACCTGCACGTGTGGTGACGAAATATGCGGAGAGATTCTCTGTCTTGCTACTGTCGTGTTGGCACCCGTATATCTGCCTCGGCGTGATATGGATGGATGGGTGGATGCGCCATGCATGCGCAGCGATTTTCGAGCCCGAGGAGAGAGGGATGTCTCGATGAGTGAATGCCTGTGTGAGACTGCTGAACGCGCCCTCCCGTCTTCTCCTGGCCGCCGTGCTGAAGGGCTTCCGCAGCTGAGATGATAGTCGGCTGAGCAGACTCTCTCTCTGCTGAGGCACGCCGTCGGCACGTCGGCCAGGAGTGGTTGGGAAGGGCGGCCCAGTGGACTGTGAAGAGGTTTTCTCGAAGGAAGGAAGATGTGCACCCTGCGATGTGATCTCGTGGTCTGCGCTGTGCGTCGGGGGTGGATGTTGCGAGTCACCATCGTCACAGCAGACGGTGATGAATCGTGCGTTGTCGTCCCTCGACAACAGCGCAGATTTCGTGATTGTTGGTTTCAAGAAGGGGGTGCACGTTCACCATTCGTTGGGGTTGCTCTGTCTGTCTGCCTGGCTCGTGCCGGGTGGCGTGATTTTCTCATCTGCATGTGTAGATACAGAGAGCGATAAGATATATAGGAGAAGGGGGCGGGGCGGGTGGGATGACACAAATCACATGCACCGCGCAGTTGCACCGAAGGTGAGTGGATGCAGTGAGAGAAGTGGGGCATGGCTGTTTCTCGTTGCGATGACGGGTGGAGAGATCGAGCCAAGGGAGGGAAAGCCACACAGTCATGACCGACTCGACATTCATTCCATGAGAGAGAGGAGCGTAGTAGACTCGAGCCTGCTTGTGGTGTGGGTCTGTGTGCGTGTGCGCGTGAGTGAGTGAGATTTGTCGGTGTGCGGCACGTGCCCTTTCCTCTCTGTGTGTGTGAATGACTTGCCACGATTTAGTGAATCTTCGTGTCCAACTCTCTGTATCGACACATGAGATGAACACGGCAACAAACAAACAAGTCAGCACACGCACGCATAAGTCACTACGAAAGCAATGGAGGCACACCAGCACTTGCACTTGCCGACGATGAAGACGAAGCCTCCCCACCCCCAGACCCACCACCAGACCCCTCCACCCCATCAAAAGCCGTCCTCCCATCCCCAGCAACCATCGCCTTGGAGCACTCGTCTATCTGCCGCTGTGTCATGTGGCCGCACGCCAGCTCTCGAGTGTACATCCGGGCCATCGACCGGAAGCCACGCAGGTCGCCGCTGCGAATCAGGTTGCCTGCACCACACCACACCACACCACACCACACACATACTCCTTCACACACGGGAACAGCTGAGTGGAGTGCTGGTCAGTCAGTCTACCTGCGTCACAGTTGAGAGGGCTCTCCGCGTTTGGCGCGTATAGGAGGGCGATAACAGCTCGACAGACGTAGAGGAGCGTCCACGCCGGGCTCCAGTCTGTCTTCAAGATGTCCAGACATACCTCACCTGGCAGCACACACCGGACCGCACCAGATGAGCAGGCACCTCACAATCAGCCATGAGCCAATCAATCAATCTGAATGTGTGTGTGTGTGTACCTGTGAGGAAGTTGACATTGGGGTGGAACACTTGCGTCTTGAAGGTGACTTTCGGGGGGTGGATGGGGTAGGAAGGGGGACACACAAGCTTCACCGTGAAGCGGCCGTGCTGCATCGCATCCCAGTCCAGTGCAGAAGCACACACACACACCGTTCACGCACCACACAAGCTGTGAAAGGACGAGCGCCTTCTGCGGACCTCATAGGGCGATTCCTTTGGTCCGCTGAGCACCGCCTCCCAGCTGTACAGATTGTCCATGCTGCAGCAGCGGCACAGATCCATCCAGGCAGACTGGGAGTCAGAATGCGTCGTCATCTCGAGGTCTTTACTTTGCGTTGAGTTCGATGTCGCTTTCGGGATTCTTCTGCACCTCACGCAGCTCCGTGAGCAGACGACTACGCGGATTCGCCATCGCTTTGCTTGATCCAGATGCGAGCTTTGCCTGACCGCGTTCTTGGAGGTGGTGGAGGAAATGCACAGCCCTGCAGGCCCACAAGCAGCAGACTGTTGGAAAGTCGGCGGTGCCCCCGCCAGCGAGATCTTGTAAGGCGAGCGGAAGCTCGCTACCCTAGCCCAGTTGAACTAAAAGGGCCTTCGCTCTTATCTTATCTCTATTCCTTTGAGCGGCGAAAGTCGCGTTTCTTCAAGACAGACGAGTCCATCGGCGGCAGCAACAATCCCGTTCTTTCATCTCCTGCAAACAGGTGATAGATCCGCACCGACCGAAGGGTGAATGGCTGAGTATGGATGAGCCCGTTCATCTGTGGTATGCATGCGCTTCTGTGTCCTGCAGCGCTGGGTCCTTTAGTCGACCGATGAATCAGTTGACCCCTGTGGTTGGGACACTCACTCTCTGATACGACAGCTCTCCACTCGCAATTCTGCGTCTTGCCACCTCTTGACGACGCCAAAGCGACTTACTTCACAGACGCTCTTCCCAAGATGACGAGACCTTACGGCTCATCGCCTGTCGATGAGCCCGCCCGCTCTTACCTGTCACCTCCAGCGACGACCAGCGGCCACGCAGCTGTCCGCACGGCCAAGCGCACAGTCATCGGCCTCGTGATTCTTGGCGCAGCGATTGTTTGTCTCACTTTTGCGTTCGCGGCGACATCGTGCCCTTGTTGGGGGGACTGCCCGAAGGGACGGCACTTGCACGGCACCGAGTATGACAGACAGGCACACACGGATATGGGACTGGTGGCTGCAGGGCCACATGTCATGGTGTCCTGTGTGTGGTGTTGGTTCTTGTCTTGTTCTCTCTGCCTGCCCTCCCTCCTCCCTCCCTGCCTGCCTGCCTGCAGGTGTGTCGAGGGAGGCACAGACGCCGAGAACGAAGTTGAGAAGAAGGTTCGGTCATCGATGTGGTGCTGGCTCACAAGCCGGAAATGTCAGAAATGCCCTGTAGGACAGATTCTCTACCGCAATTGGTGGGCACAAGGGACGGACAGATAGGCGCCCCTGCAGACGCACGTACCCCGACCACCCCCAAAACGGACGTTGTCCGTCTACCTGCCTGCCTGCAGGTGTGTTGAGAGTCCAGGCCGCAACGACAACAAGACCACTGCAAGTATGCTGCGACACAGCATGCGACAGCCGATCCTGCGCAATGCTCTGGAGGACAGCATTTCGACGGTACAAAGTGTGCACACGGGACGGACAGACAGGCGCCCATGCACACGTGCGTACCCCGACCACCCCCTCAGCACGGTCCTTGTCGGTCTGCCTGCCTGCCTGTCTAGGTGTGTGCCTGATGACAGTCGAGACCAAGACAGCGGCAACAATATATCAAACACGGCTTTTTCAATCCTTACTAAGGGCTCTCCAGTCCCGATTCTCCCTCCTATCGCGATTCGAGTACTTCGCCAAGGCCTTGGCTCCTGCACACGGCTCTGACTTCATCGCCTGGTCACCATCAGTCACAGCCACAACCTTAGCATCCGATGGTCCTCAGCTGGCAGGGCGAACGGCGCTGGAGAAGTACGCCACGGCCGTGGCCGGCTGGGGCCCCACGATAGTGCTCATGTGATGGGAGGGGGGGTGGGTGGGAGAGGGTGCAGGCCAGATGGTGCAGTGGTTCGTGTGGTGTGCTTGTCTCGCCAGTGTGTGGAAGGGGTGCTGTATGGTGACTGGACTTTGATTTGTCGTTAGTTGGTTGTGCCATAGCCAGTGAAGCCTGCTGGCCTGCCTGCAATCAGTGTGTGTGCAGTGAGAACAAGACCAGCGGCGTGCCTGGCTCCTCTGCATGTGTGTGTGTGTGTGCGTGTGCGTGTCTGTCTGCCTTGTCATGAGGGCGTATTTCTCGTCACTCGCTCACCCATTGCACACCTGTGTGTGTTTTTGAATTCACGACTAGAGACTATAGTGCGTCTCCCGTTGGTTCGTTGGTTTTGTGTGTGCGTGGGGTGTGTGGGTGGATGGGTGCCTTTATTGCTTTTGCGTGTGTGTGTTGGTGTGTGGAACTGAGAGCTCGAATTGACGTCGACAGAGAGAGTCGAGACCGTCTGCCTGTCCGTGTCCTTCTCCGGTGTATGCATCTCGTTGTCCTGGAAGGACACGACACGGCTGTGGTGTGGTGTGGCGCTGGTTTTTTGTGTGTTCTGTGAGACAAATCCATCCGCGTCGCGTGATGGGTTGCTGCCTGAGGTGTATGGTGCGTACTAATCCGTGTGCTGCTGTTCATTCGTTTATCCATTGTCCATTGACGTGTCGCTCGCCTGGATAGCATGAGGCCGGGAGTCATTCCGAAGTCCCGCACGCCATGCAGATCTGAACACACACGCTTCACAAAGCGACAGAGAAGGCATCAACCATGGTGCTTGGGAACGGGGCAACACACGTCTGATGCGGTCTGATTTTGCACTGCCATTCACGGCGCTGCAGTCGCGAGTGGAGCTCGCACAATTCCTGCCAACGATTTTCTCTCTTACCAGCGATTTCTTTACTCCGACGGCAGCGCCATGAGCATCAACAAGGGCCACAACTTTGACGTCAAGCTGTTTGGCTTCTCATGTGGCGGCATCTCTGCCTCACGAATCAGAGATGCAGAGCCCTTCCACCTCACAGTGAACTTCGATGGCAGCTGCGGCTTTCAGGTGCGCCTGCCTCAGGAGTGTGATGGCACCGCACTCATCTCGACTTCTGTGTGTGTCCTGCAGACTGAGGCAGTGACTGGGGTGGAGCCTCACTGGACGTGCAGCCGTCGATTTGCCTATCAGACCAGCAGCATCGACACACTCACAACGTACAGCAGTACAGAAAGGGAAAGGAACGAGTCGCTCATTGAAGTTGCGTTCGTTTGTTTGTTTCTCAGCAAGTACCTCAGTATTTCGTGCGCCGATGGGGCTGCTGTGGTTGGTGAGGCGTCTGTCGACCTGCGGACACTTGCCACAGGCCCAACGCGGTACTCACTCACTCTCAAGGACGGACAGAAGGCAATGGTACGTGTGACAGATCGGTGGCAGCGAGGATGGATGCATGTTGGCAGCTGTGTTCGGTGCTGTATGTCCAGGGCACTGTACGGTTCACGTGTGTTATGGAGATGAAGACCAGTGTGGCCATAACTGTCAAGAACCTGTTTCTCAGCTGCAGCAAGGTCACACAGCATCCGTGTTTGCAGACAACTAACTGCACGGTGAGTATGTTATGTTGGTCAGGCGATGGGCGCGTCGATTCGTGTCGTCCCTTCGATGGCCAGCAGTCTCGATTTCTCTTTTCCGTACTCAGCGGTGCGTCGGCTGGCCATGCATAGCATACACCTCTCTAAATGTGACGTACACACATGTACTTATACGTGTGTTGCGTGCAGGAGGGCCATTGGCGTGGCGACAGGACCGTCATTGTCGATACTGCACTGGTGAGTGAGCTGACCAAATCGAAGCGGAGAGAAAAGGCGGTCGTTTCCGTTTCCGTGACGTGTCCGTTTGCTCAGTGGGGTTTGTTGCGGGCTGACATGGAGGAGCACCTGCTGTTTTATGCGCTCGACCGAGACGGTTTCGTCGTCGCAACTGGTGGGGAGCAACACATTAAGACATTAGTGGCTGCAATCGATAGGTGCACATCAGATCCTTGTTGTGTGTATGTGCAGCAAAGGTAGCCTTCTGCGAGCACTTCTCGATGGATGGCACTGCCGCATTCAGAGGTGCGCATGAGTAGACATGCTTGATGCACACCACGGCTCGGGCGGCATCTTTTTCTGTTGTGTCGGTTGATTGCCTGTCCGTCAGTTCCGCTTGCCCCCACGAGTGCCGTCAGCGGCCATCTGTCTGGCGAGCTCGAGTACCAGAACTGCCCACCCCTTGCCCAGCTGGCGGGCGGCATCTACTGCGACCGTCCCGCCCCAATTGTGCATGGTGGGTATCGGCTGGTGGCGAATCTGCCCTACCCGCCAGGCCTTCAGGAGGTGAGCTGTGCTCTGACTGACTGACTAGGTTTGCCTGTGGTGATGACGCTCTGGTGTGTCTTTCTTCAGGCTCCTCCCGTGCTTTCCTCACCTGCTCACTTCCTGCCACTACACGACACCCCAGATGCCATGCTGCAGCTGCAGCTGCAGCAGGGCGACAACCGTCAGGTACACACATACAAGTGCATCCATCAGTCACATGACTGCCTGTGCCTATTTATTTGTATGTCCCTCCCCGCAGGAGCTCCCTCTTGATGTACGTGTCGTTGGCACTTGTCGGCAGCCGTGCTGCCTGTCTGATGCGGAGGTCAGTGTGGCTGATCTGCGGCAACACCTCCACAAGGCCATGGAGGCCAACAATTTGGGACAGGTGAGTGACTGTGAGGAAGACAGACAGGCGGCTGGGCTGGGCTCGTTCGTCATCCGCTGTCTGTGGTTGTATGGGTGCAGGCCTTTGCGTGTGGCGAGGCTGCTGGAGGTTGATCCACACGGCGGGCATCAGGAAGCCCTTGCAGAGTGGCTGGATGGCGACCTGGATAGGGAGCCCCCGGCAATGGGGCTCGATAGCATCCACTTGACGCTGCCCGACACACCAAACCAGGTGGGTCAGCCACGCTTAACGTGACACATGCACATGGGAATGCGGAATTCACTGTTTGTCAGGCCTGCTTGTCTGACTTCGATCTGGCCATCGAGACGGCCTTGCGGGACACGGGGATCGACCCGCTATTTCGAGACGTCCTCACGGCGAAGGGGCTTGACTCGTGGGACACGATGCGCGCATTGGTAGAGAATGAGCCCTTGGCCTGCAAGGCACTGGAGGGCATCGGCATACCGCCTCTCAAGTGCATCCACTTCGTCAACGAGATGAAGAGAACAGTACATGGATGCGACGACACTGACAGCCATGTCAGTCAGTCAGCCAGCCAGTCAGTCAGTCAGCGAGCGATGGGTGCACTCACCCACTCAGGCCACCAGCAACACATCCCCCTCCGACGTGTGTGTGTTGCTTCATCCAGGTCACTGACCCACAAGCACCGCTTATTCAAGACAATCGTGAGAGGGCCATGGTCACCCTTAGACAGCGGCATCATGGCGGCACTGCGGGGGCCGTCGTGGGCAGCGTCGCCAGCGGCCTTCTCGGCCTCAGCCTCGCCCCGAGCGCAGGCGTAGCCGCAGGTGTCGCCAGTGCTGCATTCGGTGCCGGGCTGGGGTGGCAGCTTGGCACACTGGCCGCCAACTGGTATGTCGGCTGGCGATTCACCGCAGCGGGCGTCGACCTGACCAACCGACAGAAGGAGGTGCTGGTGCTGCACGCCACTGCTGCTGGCGGGTTGGCGGGCCTGGCCGCCGGTGCAGGTGCTGCGGTGGCCACCAGAGCGGCCGCGGCATCCAGTGTAGCATTGCGTCGCTTTCTCGCCGGCCAGTGGGTGCAGCTGACTGCAGAAGGGCGGGATGTGTGGGTGCGTGTGCGGCCAGTGGTGGGCGTGGCGGCGCGGGAGCTCATGAAGATGACGAGGCAGATGTGGGAGTGCAGCTACCAGGGAAGGGTCCATGAGGGCCAAGTCGATTTCGGCGCTCATGCCGTCAATTTTGGTCGGTGTGATGAGTGGGTGCGGGCGGTCATTGTTGCGCTGCTGATGGCTGCTCTTGGCACACAGAGAGGCGGCCAGATGTCCCCTGTACGATAGATGCCCCTCCGAATTGTGTCTGTCAGTGTGAGAGAGCGGATTTGTCTGTCTGTGTGTGTGCGTGAGGAGTTTTTTAAATCGATGACGTGCGTGTAGAGTAGCTGTCGGCTGGGCGCGGGTAGCCTCTGTGTGCATTGATATTGCATCCGGGGTGCGGTCGATGTGAGGATGGACGGAATGAGTGTTGCATTCAGCGCATGATCCGCGTGTCTCATACTGAAGCAGACACTGGTCGACAGACATCACCTCAGATCCCTGAGGGCAGGTCTCGCCTCAGACCTCGTCAACCGAGACATGCAAATATAAGATGTAGGCAGCGGTAATCTCCCACCCCCTGTGCCGCTAACTCATCCCTCGCCCTCGGGCACTGAGAGCAACACACACGTATACGACGGGACAGCATCGACAGAGACATGGCAATTCGGCGGAAAGCTTGTAGGCGGTCGCTCGTCAGCCAAGAGACAACAAATATAAAACGTAGGCAGCGGTGAGCTCCCTATCCCGCTGGCACGGAATGTCTCGGCGGTGTCCTGTTGGCGCCGCACATCGAGGTCGTAGTCACCGTCCCTATCCCCCGCTGGAGGCAGAGATTTTGCGCAGCTCGCCCTCCAGCGAGATGCCGCATGTCGTCTGCCCCGCCACCAAAGCATCTCGCCCTCCCGCCGGCACGCACATGCTATGCATCCCCTCCCCCCAACGCCCCCTCTGGGGGCGATGTATGTGAGCTGTGGCTGAGGCCTCACGGCCCCGAGCCCCAGCCCGTCAGAAGGCCCCGCAGACCTGAACACACACACAAACACAAACACACACACACACACATGGCCGTGAGCGGCACACACAATGAATGCACTTCCTGTCTCTCGTCTCTCTCTCTCCCCACCCCACCCTACACCAGCTGCGTACCTTCCACAATCCAGCACCAATCTGTGTGTCCGCCGCTCCTATCCATCTGTCTCGGCAGATTGCCTTGTTCTCCCGCCGGCATCGTCTCACCAGCCGGCCTTGTCCGCGGCACAGTCAACACGGTGCGCACCTCGCGAACATTGGAATGGCTGAAAGGAAGTAGGCGACAACGCACACACAAAAGAGCGGGAATGCATTGGAAATGTCTGTCTGTCTGTCTGTCTGTCTCCCTTACTTCATGAATTGTATGTCTCTCTCGCTCTAGTCAGTACCTACCTACCTGGGTTGAGGGGGCGTGGCTTGTCCCCCCTGGTGGCGGCCTCAGTGTTGATTGCGACCGAACAGCTGGGGGCGGTGCCCGAGGGGGGGGTGGGAGAGGGGGAGG